TGTGACACATGTGTGGTACTGTACTACACTTTATAGCGTGATACATGTGTGGTGTGGTAGTACAGTTGGAGTGTGATGCATGTATGGTACTACAGTTTTAACTGTGATACTCATGGTATTGCACTTATAACTGTTGGACTGCATCACACTTGAGATTCCAGAGTACGTGATGCGAGCCAAAGTATGGACAACCGAAAAGCGTCGTGGTTCCCGATGCCTACTTGCGACGCCAGTCCGGACCGGGGCCACGATGCTTGCAAGCAGAATGGGGCTGACTTGTCACTAATTCATTTACGTTATAAAGAGGGGGCGAAAACTTGCGGTCGCACGACGCTTCAGACGCCCTAGACCAGACAGCACTTGAGATATTAATTGATTCAAGGCGAGAAAAAACACGGGAAGACGAACCGTATTTCACCATGGACCGCTCACCGTCTCAACACCCCTGGATGCAATTGTTTGCACGTGAAGAACATATATGTGTTCGCACAGTTCACTAAACTTTTCGGATCCAAACACCTTATATATTTGTGTTGAAATTCGGGCGATCACGAACGGTTTGTGGGTCTGGGTTCGAGGTCGATCGCATGCGAAACATGTCCGCTCATCTGTGCGTGCGCGCGTGCGCGGGCGACAGAGCGATGGGCCCCTGATGACCCCTGGACATGGTATCCGACCGGGTCTCCTGGGGTAGAAGATTGGGAGCGTATCGGGAGAAGAGGGGGGAGGGGGTGGTCGACTGACTCGTGGAGCAGACCTGCACCACTGCTGCGGGGGGAGCGATTTGAAACGCGAACGGAGCGTCCTAGGGGGATGGGCGGGGTCTGCTACACTGTCCGGGAGGTTTGTTCAAAGTGAATGTGGCTATGACCCCGTGACCTTGACACCGACTCCTCCACTCTGCATGGTCCTTCGCCATTCGCCACCGAACACGTTTCGAACACGTTTCGAACACGTTTCGCTCAAGGAGCAAACAAGTATTTCTCCAAAGTTGAAAAAAAAAAAAAAAAAAAAAACAACTTCCACGCACCGTGCAAAATCTTTGCCCTTGCGAACGATTGTGGCTGATTTTTCATTGCAAATCATCAATTTGCGAACGAGATCCTTTTTCATGCTAAGAAAATCTTTCTTCATTGCGAAGAAATAACTTCGCACGCTTACAAAACAGCCAAATCCCAAATCCTTCGCTATGCGATCAAGGATCAAATACTTCCCTAGATGAATTATAATCATCGCTGCCATGCCGAAAGCTTTGCAGCGAAAGTCGCTGCCAGTCATGACAACCCCGCGGGAAGTTTCTGTTCGGTTCACACGAACTCCGCAGAAAAGCTGCCGCGATGATTAACAAGTCTCCCGAGTGAGTGCAGCAGAGAGAGCATGCTGCAGTTTTGTTTTAGTCGGAGATCAATACCGGGCGGCCGGCGGGCCCGGCTCTCTAGCCCGGGCGGGCGCCTGCGCTGCGGCGGGTAGGCTGCCGGGTATGCGCGCCCGCCCGCCGGGACCGCAGCGCTGCCGGGCGCTCCTGCTCCAGCGCGCTCCAGCGACGGCCGCCCGACACAAGTGTGAGAATGTCGCACACGTGTAGGTGTGTGAACGACATTCGTACAAATGGAGGCACAAGTTCGGGAAAGTAAAAGGCAAATGCACACCTTTATTTCTTGACGGTGTGTTTTGGGGCATTCACAGATCTTCAGGTTAGCGACATTCTGACACCTACATAAGTGTGACACTGACACACTTGCATATTCGATGCATTAATAAGGAATACCGAATTTGTAAAACATGGAAATTCGCCAACGTCAACTTGTGCGATTAAACGCCGTTAACGCCGTGGGCGCCTAGCATGCCAAGATGTTGGCAGTCCTTTTTGACTGTCAAATTTTGGCCGTCTTTTGGAGGCTACCAAATGTTGGCCTCTTTGAATGCCAAAAGTTGGCCTTCTTTTGAAAGAAGGCCAAAATTTGGCATTCAAAAAGAACTGCCAACATTTTGGCATGCTAGGCGACCACGGCGTTAACAGTGAATGCGCATTGCCTCCAAACAAAATAGCGAGGATTTTTTTTTCTGAAACAACCTGCTGCTGAGAACTTTTCACTGTTTGCCATCAGTCTCGCTGCGCCTCTCTTTGTGTCTCCACAGAACACTGTGCTGCAGCCACGCAGTGTCTGGCAGACGTAGCGGTTGGCTTCAATGAGTCGAGAGCATAAAAGGTGTTGGTGAAGGATTCTCGTCTTGCTCCCGGCCGCACGGTGCGGCGTGGTATGGTGAGACTGTAGAAGTCTCTCTCTGCCCTCCGTTTTTTGAATACGCGACTTTCTAAGAGTTTCTTCCCCCTAATGTTAGAGAGAACCACATCGAGAAAGAAAGATAGTGAGCCTCACCGTGCAGGTGGGAGCGAGATGCGAACTCCTTCATACCATTCCCCCAACACCTTGCTGGCGCTCGCCTCACTGAAGCCCACCCTGCCAGCCCTGCGCTGCTGCAGCACTGCCGTGTCCTGTGGAGGAAGGTGGAGGACTGAAAGCCACACCGAATATTTTCCCGAAATGTTTCCGCGGTTTCTCGCAGAAAGTACACAGTTTGCAGGATTTCCACGTTTTACAAATTTGACATGTTTCTGATAATGGTGGGCACCGTTGCGTTGGCACCCGCTGCCTTACTGACGAATAACATCTCGTTGACGAACCAGACAAAGTAATTGCACCACCCGTCGACAATTAAAAAAAAAAAAATACCGTAGACTTCCGCGGGCACCCGCAGGACCAGGCAGGGTTAATGCCCCCCCCCCCTCTCTCTTCTCTCTTTCTGTCTCTCTCATTGTTATGTGTGGCGTGCTGTCTACTGAAAGGGGTACATCATCTGAGTGAGTGAAGAGACCTCTGCTGGCTGCGCGCATTCTGAAGGCCGAAAGCCCCCACCCCTCGCAAGCCCTGCGGAATGTACCCCCCCCCCTAACAACCCCTCTCCCTCCAACTCCTACGAGACCGTCTGTTCTTCTCGGATTTGCTTTATGAAAGGCACTCGACATACCCGACCGACTTCTGAGGAGAGGCTACCGAGTGGCGTATAGTCGAGATCACGAAGTGCTGCGTTCCGCCGGCACCACCACTGGGCTGGCAGGCGGAGCAGCCGGGGCGTCATGCGCAAGCGGGAGGTGCGTGATCCTGGCCGAGCCAAAACTAATTCTATTAATTACTTGGCACAGCTTGAACTGGTGAACTAATTCCACGAAGTGGAAACACGCCCCATTTGCCCCTCGCCACGCACCGGCCGGCCAGTTGTATTGCGCCGCGGAACACACCGTTTGTACGTCCACTTTTTGTTCGACTCTAAAGACCACCTCCATTATACCACATTTCCTCGTTGCATTCGCTTTGACTGGTGGGATTTTGAATAGAACGTCCGCCATCGCTATCTAGCCTAGCGGGGCGTGTGTTTCGCACAGAGCCAATTGATTAATTAATTGCAACATCAACACGGAAGAAATGGTTGGTCGTGGGCAACCGTAAAATTCGATCGTTACGACCATGTCTCTCAATAGAGTCCGGGAGTATCGACTTTCTGATTGTGACAGCCAAGCCGCATAGCTGCAGCAGGTTTAGTTGCGACAAGCGACGGATAGGGCTGTGCTCGGGCTGTGCGATATCACTATATATCAAAGGTCGATACGATATCACCCCTATATCGAGGTACTCGATATTGGGCCGATATCGCAATATCGATATCAAAATTAAAAATGTTTTCTGTTTGGGCAAACCAGTCACTTTTTGGGATACGTTATAGCACTCCTCGCAAAATTCCGCGTCAGACGTGCCCATGTGTGTTAGCTTTCTGATAAGCAATCTGCATATAAAGAGGAAAGTCAAATTACTAAAACTGCAATCAATTTATGCAGTATCCGAACAGCACCCCACTACATTAGGCTCGTTCAACGCGGAATTTTGTTTAGATTACGAAAATGGGTGTTAGAATCCAATTGTGTGGCATAGGGAGGAAACATGTTGAAAAAAACATAAAAGTTCTGTAATGCCTTTGGTGCATTAAAAGGTTGCATTTTAAAGGTTTGACAGCCCTCCTTTGTTTTACCTGTGTTCTCATCCCAGCGTGGTTCGGTCGGTTTTACTAACACACGCTCAGCACAGCACGATGGGTTGCCGTAACCAAGCCTTTTTGTCCGTGAAAGCACTTTGGCTTTGTGTGGAGGATCACCGCATCATCCATGCCGAAAGCGTCGCGAGTGGGAGCTGCAGTATTAGGGCAGCGACCGGCAGAGAGAGACCGAGAGCAATCCCTGCCGCAGGATACGAGGGGCGACCACTTCGGAAATCATGTGTACAACGGCCTGGGAATCATCATAATTAAAAGCAATCGATGGAAATCACAGAAACTAAAGTGGGAAACACCAAGGCTTAAATCCAATTAGTCGAAATAGTATTTTCTGCCATTAGAAACCGTATGGAGTATGGTGTTTGTTAATAAAAGTGGACAGGAATTGTTGTGATTCATTTGTAACGCTGCAAAAGGAAGAAGTCGGACCCTCATCAGGATGGAGAGAGTCGTTGAAATTAATTTACGCGTTTCCCCCCGGCTGTTGCTGTTCGTATTTGGGTGGTTAACGCCTGGCGGGTAGGCCACGCTCTTCGAGCTGCGCAGAGCGGCCGGGCGGGCGGCCTAAGCGACGGTCCGCAGGGGCTCGGCCAAGCACACGCCAGTCTGGGGCTGGGGACTCAAGTGCGATGCAGTCCAAGCCGAGGCATGTCTAACGCTTACAAGTGGAAGATCACACTGTGCAAGAGTTATGGACTGCACACGTGCGTCACTAGATCACCCTTCCAAGCGCGCTAATGTTCTCACGGATGTTAGTGTGATATATACGATATGAT